CTTCCGGGCTTGGTGAAAATAGTGCGAAACACCCGCAAATCCACCAGAATAAAGGGAGGGGCGGTGATGCCTCTGGTCTCCTGTCCCTTCAGGGGGAACCTCGTAGAGGGGCTGCGGCGAGGGACCCGCGGGGCCGGGTGGGGGTCACAGGGTGGCCGTGGGGGTGAGGAAAGGCTTGTTTCCCCGGGGTTGTAGCCTCTCTGTTCGTGCAGAACTACTGCCTAAAGCCGGGTTAGATGGAGCTTGGAGCAGCCTGCTCTGGTGGAAGGTGTTCTGCCCGTGGCAGGTGGTGGAATGAGATGGGCTTCAAGGTCTCTCAGGACCGTCCTACAGCAGCAGCCACAGCTCAGTCTCCTTGCTGTGTAGCTTGTGAGGCTTCACTGGGGGGAGAAGCCTCATCTGCCTTCTGCCAGCATCATCAGCTCTGGTCCCCACAACTTCCAGAGGGTGTTGGTGTGGCTGCCGTGGTACCTTCAGTTTGAGATTGAGGGTGGTGTGGGGGCTGAGATGACAGGAGGCATGCCCTGTCTCCTGCTCACTAGGGCTGGGCTCCTGCTGGGCTGCAGGAGGGTCTTGGAGGGTTTGGTGGTACTTGTTCGGCAAACCAGGTGCTGCTGCACAGCTCCATGCTGAAGGAGGAGGTGTGAAGGGTGCCAGCTCCATGCCTTGTTTCCAGACAGTCTCCTGTACAGGAAGCTCAGCTTGCTGAAGGCTGTTGGCATTGTCCTGGGTTTGCTCCAGGCAGTGACCAGCGGGCAGGAGGGGAGTTAAAACACTGACTGGTGCTTTCACAAGCTGGATCCCACTCAGCTGAATTTTCCTGGCCAACCACTGGCCTCTGGTCCTTGGGATGAGCATCTTCATAGGGCGGGGATCTCAGCTGGGGGGGCCACAGAAGCTCTTCCAGCAGCCTGGAGGCTGGAATGCTGTGGAGTTTGATTCCCTGAGCTCTGGGAGCTTCTGCCCACTTCATCCAGACTTTTTCCAGCCTGCCTGCTCCAGCTGGCAGCGCAGGAGGAGTTGGTGTCCGTGGCAGGAAATTCTCTAGGAACATTATGCAGCTTTCTAGCCCAGGGAGGCCTTGAGCAGGAGATTGTGGCCGTGACCAAGTGAACCTGCTGGGAATGGCCTGGCCAAGCTCCTGCCACTGACACAAAGCCGGAGCTGTCTCTGCCCTGCTTCTGGTGCAGCTCCTGCCAGTGAGTTGTGCTCGTGTTTCCCATTTGCAGCAGGGAGAAGGGTAGATCTGGGGCAATGTGGATAGATTGTGACTTTGTGAGGGTGAACCTCGGACTACTCTGGGAAAAACAGCAGCTGGGTTGTATGTTTGGAAATCTGGGAAAGTTCAGCCATGGGCTTTGCAAGAGGAAGGTACTGATACCTATGGCAGGCACCAGGTCATGGAGATGGTCTGGAACTTCTCAGGACCTTTCTTTGGTGAGGAACTGGAGGATGCAGGAGGTGGCCCACCAAGAGGGGTGAGCACTGGGTGGCATGGAATTTCATGGGAATCACACATCCCTCTGCTGGAAGGGGAGGCTGGTGAGCCACAGCAGCTTATCAGGTGTTTGGTTTTGTTGTGGAAGGCGCTGTCATAACTAAAAATGTGCCTGTTCTTGTGACCTGCTGGCTTTGCTTGTGTCTGCCCTTGAACATTAGGAAAACACTTTGTGGGAAGCAGGGGAGGCAGATCTGCCTGGCTGCTGGCATTCAGGTGGCTCAGCAGCACCTGGCCATCGCCAGCAAGGAAGCATTTGGGTCAGACCTGAGTAGAACCAGAGCTGGACCTCATCTCTCTGTTGACAGGTTTGATCCCTGTGTGACCATAGCCCTTTCTAGGGATGCCCCCAAGGATCAGCTCTTCCCAAACAAGTTCTGTTTCCCTGTGGTGAGTGTCAGGCTGCTGCTGGGGGGACCTCTACCCGCACATGTGATGTTGTGGGGTGCTGAATCTGGCCCCAGAGGTGGCTGGTGTCATGCCATGGGCTGATCTAACAATGCCTCCTCTGTAGCACAAGATGGAGAAGCAGGAACAGGGCGTGGTGTTTTCATGCCTGAGGAACTAAATTTAAGGCAAACTGGGAAGCAATTGTGGTAGAAAACCACTTCGTCCATGTGCAGTGGGGTTCTTTATGAACCTGAAGATCTCCTGGGGGAGAAGAGGAGCTGTGTGACTCCTGTCCTCATAGGTCACCACTGGTACCAGTCCTCTCGTTGGCTTGGACACTAGTCTGAAGGGGTCTGGGGGGATAATTGGCATGGAGGGTCTCTGCTCCCTGCTCTCCATCACTAACAAACATAGCTTGTGCCTTTAACTGCTGTGATCCAAGCTGGGAGCAGTCCCTCCTCTAGGAAAACATCCTAAAATAC